ACCATTTTTACATTGAGAAAGCATATGATCACACCAGTCTTGGTGTGATCAGATGCTGTGAAGGGCAAAGGAGAGATTATTATTTATTACAGGTACTTATATAGTGTTGTCAATTTACGCAGAGCTGTACATATATATATTAAACATTCACATCAGTCCCTAACCCTCGAGGGGTGTACAGTCTAAGGTCCCTAACTCTCATTCATACATACACATACTAGGGCCAATTTAGACATGAGCCAATTAACCTGCCAGCATGTCTTTGGAATGTGGGAGGAAACCAGAGTACCCGGAGGAAACCCACACAACCAAAAGGAGAACATGCAAACTCCATGCAGGTGGTGCCATTGTTGGGATTTAACATTGTTGGGATTGGAAGTGCTGGGCAGCACTGATGGTTGGCACTGCTGGGCACTGATGGGTGGCACTGCTGGGCACTGATGGGCGGCTCTGTTGGGCACTGATGGGCGGCTCTGTTGGACACAGGTGGGTGGCACTGATGGGCACAGGTGGGTGGCACTGCTGGACACAGGTGGGCAGCAGCAGGGGTGGACTGACCATTCTAGCACTCTGGCACTTCCCGAGGGCCTGGAGTCAGTAGGGGGCCCCATGAAATGCCCCTGGTACCTTTTTATAGGCTTTTTTGGGTGTGTTTTGAGTCTGGGCAAGGACACAGGGGCCCCATGATCCTCTATTGCCCAGGGGCTCCATGAGTTGTCAGTCCGCTCCTGGGCAGCAGTAATGGGTGACACTGCTGGGCACTGATCATCAGTGCCCTGATGATCGGTGCCGATCCCTGACAATTGCCGGTTATCGGCAGTTCTTTCCTCACGCTGTGACAGCTTGAGGAAAGTTCAGCTGATAACTGGCAACTGCATTTACTGGTGATCTGCTGTGTCAATGGACACGACTGATCACGTGGTAAAAGGCCGCTGTGATTGGCCTTTTACCACATCACGTGATCAGCTGTGTCCATAGGACACAGCGATCACGGAGATTGCAGGGTGCGCACCCCCCCTGGGGAGCATTCTGGGAGGACGTCATATGACGCCCTCCCAGAACTGGCTGGCCGCGGCGAACCTGTCATTCGGCTATCTGCGGTCGGCAAGTGATTAAAATTCCAAAAATTGTATTTAAAAAAAAAAAGCATTTGAAAAACAGCTATGCAAATACCATATGACATTAAAAATTGCAACACCCGCCATTTTATTCTGCTTTAAAAATATATAATATTTAGGGGTTCTAAGTAATTTTCTAGCAAAAAATATTGATTTTTTTCACATGTAAAACAAGAAGTGTCAGAAAAGGCTTGGTCTTTAAGAGTTTATACCAACATCCTTGTGAATCCTGAACGCAGCCCTTGGGTTTTTATCATAAGCAGCAATCTGATGCAGAACACAAGAATACATCAAAAACCAAACTCAGGTAATCACATTTTTAATGTGTTCATCTCTGTTAATTGCCACATCTGTATTTCCACCGGCGCACTGAGGTTGCCTCCTGGAGCCTCTTCATTTGCATGCAGTTCTTCGTTAATTAGATTAAAACAAATCTAGGGCAGACCCATTATTATAATGCAGGTTGGGAGTCTATCAATCACCTGTCAGTCCTTTTATGATAATCCCTCCAAAGCTACAACATCACCTGATAGTATGGTGAAATGATTGCTGGAGTTTTCTGTGACATCACGCTCAGATCTAACTGCAGGCATTGCATGCACTAATTACGATCACTGTGCTCGTGACAGCTTAGTTAGATCCTGTAATTTGCGCATCTTGACTTATTTATATGACAATACCATATATCCCATAAGTATACTCTGTACGATATGCCGCCCACACAGGACAGCGGTAGCAGTCTGACAAGACAGCGCTTCTTTTCATTTTATCGTCCAAATCAGCTTTTGTAGGAAAAACAACCTCAGAAGAGGTCTAGGGCAGGTTGCTTTTGTTCTTTATTCTATCACATGTCATGTTTCTAAGAGAAAATGTCAGAAACAATTGAGTACTGTCCGTGATACTTTTTTTATTTGCACCTAACATACAATTTTGAGGACAAGCTTTCAGGGAGTGTCCCCTTCTTCAAGGTCCAAGCAGTCCCCTTGAAGAAGTCCCCTTCTTCAAGGTCCAAGCAGTTCCCTTGAAGAAGTCCCCTTCTTCAAGGTCCAAGCAGTCCCCTTGAAGAAGTTCCCTTCTTCAAGGTCCAAGCAGTCCCCTTGAAGAAGTTCCCTTCTTCAAGGTCCAAGCAGTCCCCTTGAAGAAGGGGACACTCCCCGAAAGCTTGTCCTCAAAATTGTATGTTAGGTGCAAATAAAAAAAGTATCACGGACAGTACTCAATTGTTTCTGTCGCAAGTGCACAAATACGGCTACAATCACCTTAAGAGAAAATGTGAAACTATCCTCATTTATGTTATAAGAGGTGTAATCAGGTGACAAGTCACCAAAATCTGTGGGTGCATCACAATCAAAGTACCCTAGGAGGTCATGCAGGGAGGAACAATGTTTCTCTATGGTTTCCTGGGTCATTGGAGAAGTTGGATGCTGCCACCCCATGTAACTCTGGTGGCCATCTTGGGAGGTGTAATCAGGTGACAAGCCACCAAAATCTGTGGGCGCATCACGAGCAAAGTACCCCAGGATGTCATGTAGGGAGGGTATATGTGGCAGGTGCAGTTTACTTTTTCCACTGCAGGTGGTGCACCACTGCAGCAAGCATTGCAGAGGGAGAGGAAGTCAAGTGGAACAATGTTTCTCTATAGTTTCCTGGTAATTGGAGAAGTTGGATGCTGCCACCCCATGTAAGTCTGGTGGCCATCTTGGGAGAGGTGTAATCAGGTGACAAGCCACCAAAATCTGTGGGCGCACTTCACAAGCAAACTACCCTAGGAGGTCATGCAGGGAGGGCATATATATGCAGGTGCAGTTTACTTTTTCCACTGCAGGTGGCACTCCAATGGCAGCAAGCATTGCAGAGGGAGAGGAAGTCAAGAGGAACAATGTTTCTCTATGGTTTCCTGCGTCATTGGAGAAGTTGGAAGCTGCCACCCCAAGTAAGTCTGGTTACCATCTTAGGAGGTGTAATCAGGTGACAAGCCACCAAAATCTGTGGGCGCATCACGAGCAAAGTACCCCAGGATGTCATGTAGGGAGGGCATATGTAGGCAGGTGCAGTTTACTTTTTCCACTGCAGGTGGTGCTCCACTGCAGCAAGCATTGCAGAGGGAGAGGAAGTCAAGAGGAACAATGTTTCTCTATGGTTTCCTGCGTCATTGGAGAAGTTGGAAGCTGCCACCCCAAGTAAGTCTGGTTACCATCTTGGGAGGTGTAATCAGGTGACAAGCCACCAAAATCTGTGGGCACATCACAAGCAAAGTACCCTAGGAGGTCATGCACGGAGGAACAATGTTTCTCTATGGTTTCCTGGGTCATTGGAGAAGTTGGATGCTGCCAACCCATGTAACTCTGGTGGCCATCTTGGGAAGTATAATCAGGTGACAAGCCACCAAAATCTGTGGGCACATCACGAGCAAAGTACCCTAGGAGGTCATGCAGGGAGGGCATATGTAGGCTGATGCAGTTTACTTTTTCCACTGCAGGTGGCACTCAATGGTAGAAAGCATTGCAGAGGGAGAGGAAGTCAAGAGGAACAGTGTTTCTCTATGGTTTCCTGCGTCAGTGGAGAAGTTGGAAGCTGCCACCCCAAGTAAGTCTGGTTACCATCTTGGGAGGTGTAATCAGGTGACAAGCCACCAAAATCTGTGGGCACATCACAAGCAAAGTACCCTAGGAGGCCATACAGGGAGGAACAATGTTTCTCTATGGTTTCCTGGGTCATTGGAGAAGTTGGATGCTGCCACCCCATGTAACTCTGGTGGCCATCTTTGGAGGTGTAATCAGGTGACAAGCCACCAAAATCTGTGGGCATATCACGAGCAAAGTACCCTAGGAGGTCATGCAGGGAGGGCATATATATGCTGGTGCAGTTTACTTTTTCCACTGCAGGTGGCACTCAACGGCAGCAAGCATTGCAGAGGGAGAGGAGGTCAAGAGGAAGCAAACGTTCAGAGAGAGAGGAACAATGTTTCTCTAATGTTTCTCTATGGTTTCCTGGGTCATTGGAGAAGTTGGATGCTGCCACCCCAAGTAAGTCTGGTTACCATCTTGGGAGGTGTAATCAGGTTGACAAGCCACCCCAAAAGTCTGGTTACCTCTGGGCATATCACAAGCAAAGTACCCTAGGAGGTCATGCAGGGAGGAACAATGTTTCTCTATGGTTTCCTGGGTCATTGGAGAAGTTGGATGCTGCCACCCCATGTAACTCTGGTGGCCATCTTAGGAGGTGTAATCAGGTGACAAGCCACCAAAATCTGTGGGCACATCACAAGCAAAGTACCCTAGGAGGTCATGCAGGGAGGGTATATGTAGGCAGGTGCAGTTTACTTTTTCCACTGCAGGTGACGCTTAACGGCAGCAAGCATTGCAGAGCGAGAGGAAGTCAAGAGGAACAATGTTTCTCTATGGTTTCCTGGGTCATTGGAGAAGTTGGATGCTGCCACCCCATGTAACTCTGGTGGCCATCTTCGGAGGTGTAATCAGGTGACAAGCCACCAAAATCTGTGGGCGCATCCAGTGGTGTGTTTACGTTTTGTGCTACCCTAGGCAACACCAAAATTGGCGTGGAGAGCTTTCCACTACCACCATCCCCCCAATCGAGAGAGAGAAGACACTCACCTCCATAGCTCCGGACATCCCCGGGAAAGAGAGTCGGGCTCTGCATACACTGTCAGCAGCCCACAGCCTCTCTCAGATCCCACCTTTTCCTAGTCTGTGATTATCAGGTAGGTGTTTGTACATGGAAACTAAATGGCACAAATGTTTTTTGGACAACAGTAAAGAAAAGCTTGCCCTAATTTATCTTCAGCAAAAGTTGGAAGTTCCACTGTACAGAAGATAGTCTATTGCAAACTTATCTGTTTTTTTTTTTTAATCTCCATCTCAGGTCCGCTGCATCCATCCGGAATGTGCTCTCGTTCTTCAGGTCCTTGAACAAGAAGCGGAATGTTTCAATAAGATAAAAAAAGAAAATCAGACATTTCTGAATTCATCAAATGGAGGTGAGTGGGAAGGGACAGCAAAGGTTTTGTGTTGCTTTAGCTGTTTTTTTTTGTTGTTATATAGCAGAAATACTATGAAAAAAAAACATTAATTGTTTTTATTTTGTTTAATTGTTATTACTATTAGCCAGATATTTTATAATTCTACCTATCCTGAGAATTACACAGCCTTGCCACACAGCACAGCCCTGTCTGACCAGACAGGAGACCTGATTTGTCTCTGCTGCGATCAGGGGCAGACTGACAACTCATGGGGCCCCCGGGCAATAGGGGATCATGGGGTCTCAAAAAAGCCTATGAAAAAGGTACTGGGGTAATCTCATGGGGCCCCCTACTGACCCCTGGCCCTCGGGCAGTGCCCGAGTTTCCAAATGGTCAGTCCGCCCCTGGCTGCGATTCATTTACAGGTCTTGTCCCTCCCCCAGTCTGTGACCGCACAGTAAAAAAAGAAGCAGAAGACTGATGAGGTCATCTTCTTTCCAATCAGCATGTCTCCTTTGTTATTACATGAGCACTATAGAACAACTGATTGGCTCCTTCCTCTGCTTCTCCCTCTTTCAGTCTGAGCTTTCCTGTGCTGTGGATTTAACAAGGTTGATACCATGACAAGTTCAGGCACTGCTCGCATTTAAAAAGAAATCCTTTTTTTTGTTTTCATTTTAAATGCATTTTGCATTTAACCTCTTCAAGTCCGGACACTTTCTCCCCCTTCCTGCCCAGGCCAATTTTCAGCTTTCAGTGCTATCACACTTTGAATGACAATTGTGCGGTCATGCAACACTGCACCCACGTGAATTTGTTAGCATTTATTTGAGAAAGATAAAACTTTTTTTTATCTTCCATAGGCATGACAACTCATGGGGCCCCCTGGCAATAGGGGATCATGGGGCCCCTGTGTCCTTGCTCAAACTCAAAAAAGCCTATGAAAAAGGTACCAAGGGCATCTCATGGGGCCCCCTACTGACCCTGGGCCCTCGGGCAATGCGGAGTTTCCAAATGGTCAGTCCGCCCCTGGTCGTACAATATCAATACAGTTCCTTCAACCTCTCATGGTATGAGTCCCAAAGAAGTGAAAAAGTCCATATCTATGGAAAGGCTAACATTTTACAGCCTGTCCAGTCCTTGGGCGGTTATGGAGGATAAGCTACTGCTGCGCCTCTTTAGTTTTTCAAAAGCATGGTTATGGTTTGCCTTATCAGGCCATAGGCCTTGCCACATGTGCCCCTCCAAAGAGGTCCAGACTATTCTTCATCTTGATCTAACTTGTCCCAAAACCCCTAATACCTGCAAGAGGGGGTTACAGCCCTTTATAGATCTACTCACACATTATATATAACTCCCCCTCTTAGCTCCACACCAATGGGCAGGTAAAACAAACCAAAGGGCAGGAGCCCAATAGCTTGCAGTTTCTCCAAAAGACCCAGATCCTTTTGGGGGCCCTCCCTGATTGCTATCAGAGTACTCCAAATTCCATTGGCGTGGTCCTTTGCTATTTGGGCCTTGAAACCCTCCAGCTGTTCACCTGTGTTACCAGAGATACCTTGGACTTCATGGAGAGGGATGTTGCTTTAGGATAATCACAAGTAGGTATTTTTGTTTTCAACTGTTTTACTGAAGTAGTGGTGCTCAGCTATACTCTTTGTTTTTATAGAGCAGGATTGAGACTGATGCATTGAAGTCTTTGCAGCTTTCATAATCTGTTTCGAAGCATTTTGCAATGCTTGCATGCTCTTTGCCATCCAGAAACCTGTTTTGCATTATTTCTTCTAACTTTGCATGTGTTAATTAAACAGCAAGTTACAGTTACTCTTTGTCTGATCTATCACCCCATGCTGTTAAATGCCTTCTTGGGTTAGTTGCACAATGAATAGTGGCCAAAGGCCTGATAATTTCCTGTTAAATTACATGGCATGGGGTAAATTGGTTATTGATTCTGTGATTCCTGTATTTTTTCAATGTCTATAAATTAGAAACATACAGATGAGGCGACAAAGAACCTTTGAAAGGCAAGCTTAATGGTCCTTTCACTTGTACTATAGATTTTTTTTTTCCTTCTTTGCAGGGTGTCCACTGAGTGGGATGGTGTCAACTGCTGGAATGCGGCCACGGTGGGACAGACGGTGACTGTACACTGTCCGGAGAGTCTTCAGATGTTTCTTAAGACAGAAGGTAAGGATCCAGCTTGTCTTCTAAGGTCCAAGCTCTCTTGCAATTTTACTAATAATTATAATCATGGTAATTTATACATAATTTTTATACAAGATCTAAAAAAAAGGTATTTATTACTTAGAACTTCCAGAAAGTCTACCATTGCTGGTTCATCTATCAGGGAACCTAGACAGGTGGATGCGCAGGGGGCCCGGCTACAATCATCACTCCCATGCAGTACACCAAGTAAATAGTGAAGCTGGACAAAGGTGTTCACCTACCTGCAAACGCCCTATGGAAGATAAAGCTGAAGGTTGTTTGATGGGGCCATGCCAGTGGAGAAAATGCAAATAGAGCAGATTCTCTGTGCCTGTCAATGTCAATCAAAGGGATGGGGGGTGTCTTGTATTCTTGTATGAGAGTTGTGGAGAACTCACTTTGAGGACAATGTTTGATATTTTAGCTTCTTATTATAGATTAAAAGAGTGAAATTTTTAATAGTTGCTAAATCCCATTCTGAGTCATTATTAAAATGCCAAAGTAACAGATGGATATGATAATTGACAGATCTCTGTCAATTTTAGATGTACCAGTACAGTTAGTGTTCTTAGCAGTTGCTCAGAAAAATGTGACAACCAGAGAACCCGAAATGTTGGGAAAATCAGCCTTACATTAAAACACAAAGAATTAACCACTTAAGGACTTTGGTCAGTATGAAATTTATTAGGGTGATTGGCTGGAAACTACTCACACAGTGATGGGCAAAGCCTTCAATGGGGCCCCTCTGAAAGACCAAATTTGCCCCCCACACCCCATTCAACGTCTTGTGAAGTAAAAACAATAATAGCATATTGATTGACAGCAAGATTGTGTAGATACCCATATGGAAGAAAAATATATTTTAAAAATATAATTCCCAAATATATTGCCATATATTTGAAAATGCTACAATTGTGGCCATATTCAATATATTTCAAAATATTATTTCAATAAATATATTCTATATATATATACAACTATATATATTATATATGTATATATATATTGTGATATATATATTTTAGTTTAGTATATATATATATATTTATATAGTGTGTGTGTATATATATATATATATATGTGTGTATATATGTATGTGTGTATATATGTATATATATATATATATATATATATATATATGTGTGTGTATATATATATATATATATATATGTATATGTGTTATATATGTGTGTATATGTATGTGTGTATATATATGCATATATATATTTATTTATATAAATACATTTTGAAATATATATACTGCATGTTGAAATGCATTTTAATTACAAAATATATGAAATATATTTGTAAAAATACATTTCAAATATACTGTAAGTCTTTAATAATGCAAATCTACATTTTTCGAAAGCATTTACAAGTATATTTAAAAAGTATATGTTAAAATGACTATTTTTATATGTTAAAAAAATCTGAAGAATATATTTTTTAAAAAAAAATATATTTTTAAAAATATATATTTTTTTAAAATATATTCTTCAGATTTTTTGTGGGAACTTTCCATGTGGGAAGTTACTGGTGAAACTACAATAATAAATATGTGCTCAAATTATTTTACCTCTAGGCTACTGTAATTCGTTTACAACAGTCACAAGAAAATAGCCACCAACTTTATTTTTAGGGCCCATTCACACCATGGTGCAGAGACGTCAGTTTTTCTGCATGCATTCTGCAAGGGCACAACAAAATCTATTGTTCTCTATGTGCCCTGTTCACACCACAACACTAGTATCACATGCAGATTTTATTCTGCACAGAAATCTGGAACGTGTATAAAACTCATTGAAGCGTGCGTGAAAATTGATGAAAATTACAGTAATCCATTAATTTCTGCTCTTAGACATTTCAGTTGCTTAGAAAAGCCTTTTCTGTAGATGAATCATGTACACTGCTGCTCCTACACATGAGTTTAGGAGCTTTTGGTGTTTTTTTTGCCAAAAACCCCTAAACTCAATTCAATAAAAGCCTATGTGTCCATGCACACATAGGCTTTTAACCACTTGCCACCCAGCCACTGTAGAAAAACGGCGGCAGGGCGGCACGGCTGGGCAAAAACACGTTTTAAAACACGCTTTTGCAAAACAGGTAGGGGGCGCGCACGAGGCGCGACGCCGCCCTACCTTCACTGCCGATCCCCGGCCGCGAATGTCAGTCGCCGGGTCACGGCCGGTCATTACCGGCTGTGTCCCGCAGATTAGCAGCAATCACTGACAGAGAGCAGGGCTGCAGTAGCTCTGCTTTCTGTCAGTTACCTGACAGCTCCTGACAAGGTGATTGGGAGAGAAGAGTTTATCTCTCCCGATCAGCGTGTCCCCTTGCAGTACACACCCCCCCCCCGCCCCCTAGTAAAACACTCCCCTCACACAGTTAACCCTTTCAGTGAATAAAAAAAGTTAACCCCTTCCTCCCCAGTGCCATTAGTACAGTGTCAGTGGGTTTTTTTTTGAACTGATCACTGTATTGGTGTCACTGGGGGGTGTCAGTGACCCCAAGTCAGTTCCCCCCCCAGTGTCAGAATGTCTGCCGCAGTCCTGCCATAAGTCACTGATCGCCGCCATTATTAGTATAAAAAAAAATTTAAAAATCCGAGTATATTTCCCGCCATTTGTAAACGCTATAACTTTCACGTAAACCAATTAATTTACACGTATTGGGGTTTTTTTTTTAGCAAAGACATGTCGCAGAAATACATTTTGGCCGAAATTTATGACGAAATTTGATTTTTACATTTTTTTTACTGGACATGTTTTAGAGCAAAAAAGTCCAAAATATTGTTTTTTTTTCTCAAAATTGTCAGCGTTTTTTTTTTTTATAGCGCAAAAAATAAAAACCGCACAGGCGATCAAATACCACCGAAAGAAAGCTCTATTTGTGTGAAAAAAAGGACATAAATTTCATTTATGTACCATATTGAATGACCGCGCAATTGTCCGTTAAACTAGCGCAGTGCTGTATAGCAAAAAAATGGCGTAAATTGCAGTATCTATACCATAGTTTGTAGACGCTACAACTTTCACACAAAGCAATCAATATACACTTATTGGGATTTTTTTTTACCAAAAACATGGAGCAGAATACATTTTGGCCTAAATTTATAACCAACTTTGAGTTTACTATATATTTTTTATAGCTGAAAATTAAAAAATATTGTTTTTCTTCAAAATTTTTGGTCTTTTTTTTGTTTATAGCGTGACAAAATAAAAAGCGCACAGGTGATCAAATACCACCAAAAGAAAGCTCTATTTGTGTGAAAAAAAGGACATAAATATCGTTTTGGGTGCAGCATTGCATGACCGCGCAATTATCAGTTGAATTAGTGCAGCGCCGAGTAGCAAAAAGAGGCCTGGTCATTAAGGGGGGTAAATCCTCAGGAGGGCAAGTGGTTAAAAGAGTTCAGCAGCAGCAGCGTTTAGGGGCATTTAAACATCCCTGTCCTGAACGTAGAAGAATCTCATTCAGGGGAGAAATGCTTTGGCCAAAAAAATATGCAATGCGACAAAACCCGCGTGTAAATGGGTGTAAACGTGCCTAAGAGCTAGCTGCATTTAGCACTTGGGAGTTTATTGATTCCAATGACATAGTATTCTGGCCAATGAAAGTAATAAACACCTAAGCACTAAATGGAGTACTGCATTTACATGTGTTTTTGCCACATTGAGCATTTTTTAGTGGCCAGGGGAGCTTGGTGTCCAAGGGACCTTGGTGTACATGTAGCCTTAAATGTATTTAAATATATATTTAGACATCTATAGCCAGGGGCGGACTGACAACTCATGGGGCCCCGGGCAATAGGGTATCATGGAGCCCCTGTGTCCTTGCCCAAACTCAAAAAAGCCTATTAAAAAGGTACCAGGGGCATCTCATGGGGCCCCCTACTGACCCCGGGCCCTCGGGCAGTGCCCGAGTTTCCAAATGGTCAGTCCGCCCCTGTCTATAACTGACCTCCAACTCCCACCTCAAGGTTTTTCAGTATATAGCTTTTACATTATGTCCCTATACTAGCAGGTTGTATGTTCTAGCAAGCAGGACCCTTACACTCTATTATTATTATTATTTCAGGTACTTCTATAGCTTCGTCAATTTTTGCAGCACTTTACATATATATTGTACATTCACATTAGTCCCTAATCCTCATGGGGCGTACAATCTCAGGTCCCTAACTCACATTCATACATGCACATACTAGGGACAATTTAGACAGGAGCCAATTCACCTACCAGCATGTCTTTGGAGTGTAGGAGGAAACTGGAGTACCTAGAGGAAACCCATGCAGGCACAGGGAGAACATGCAAACTCCAGGCAGGAGGTGCTGTGGTGAAGATTTGAACCAATGACCCTAGTACTGCCAGGTGGATGTGCTAACCATTGTGCTGCCTGACACTCTATCTGTAATGTACATACAGTATGTTGGCCCTAAGCCCAGGGGCGGACTGACCATTCAAGCACTCGGCACTGCCCGAGGGCCCGGGGTCAGTAGGGGGCCCCATGAGATGCCCCTGGTACTTTTTTTATAGGCTTTTTTGAGTGTGGGCAAGGACACAGGGGCCCCATGATCCCCTATTGCCCGGGGGCCCCATGAGTTGTCAGTCCGCCCCTGCCTAAGCCAATTTGTACAGCAATAATAAGATATATAAGAAAATATAATAAAATACATTTGTTAACTCTATCACCTTTCTTGCTATTGACAGTTGACATCAGCAGGAACTGTACTAATAATGGCTGGAGCCTTCACTCTCCTCCATATCTTAAAGCCTGCTTCTTTAACAGCAGTATTGAGACTGATGACAAGGTAAGTGAATAGCCTAGCAGTAGTAATGTCTTCCCATTCACAGGGAGGTTGGATGGAAGGAGTTAATGATTTCCATGTTTATTGCAGCTGGCATTATAGGGACAATATACCCAGAGTTGGAGTTGTAGACCACCTGACAATTCTTATACGGTATCTCTCTGGGTCTGTAGTGGTGAGATCTCCGCACTTGAGTTCCCTGGTGTGCACATCTGCTGTGGCCTCGATAAAACCTATGAATATATCAGTTTTATTTTATATTATGGAGGAGGAGGAACTGTAAGATGCAAAAGATGGATAAGAGCATCTAAACCTCTGAGGTGAACAGAAAGAGAGTCAGATTTATGATAAGAAGCTCTCAATGGTATATCCTAGGCAAATAGGAAGCCAAGATCCAACTCCTTTCTCCGGGCTCTGCCTATCATTTTAATATGACATTTGGATGGATTGACTCTTTAAGGGATTTTGCACTTTTGTTAAGAAAGGTGAAATCCCTTTATCTGTGGTGTAGTAGTGAGCAGTAATGGTCCTCCATTCCTCCCCAAGAATCATTGCGGTTCTATAAAAGGAGCTGCATCTAGACCAGAAAGTCAAGACACCTTTCATCCTAGAAGCTACTGTAAGGGCCACCACATAAGTCAAAAATCCAGGGATATGGTGCTACTCTTGACACCCAGTATTATTCAACTCTATTCCTGAGAGCCCAGGCTGTCAAGGCCCCATTCCCACTCTGGGTTCAGAGGAGAATTATGCAGAAAGTTGTTTTGGAGATCCATGATTCCTGTCAGGTAAAGCCCAATTTAAGCTGTGATGAAACATTAAGTTGGATCCCCCAGCAGCTCCTTAAAGCAGAACTAAGTCTTCCTATCCTATACATCCAAGGAATCTGACATCTTGATCTGCACTTGCCATGGTGCTTCACACGTGATCAGTTATGACATCAACCATTTGATGGCTTGACAGCTTGGCTGAGAGCACAAGCGACCATGACAGTGATCATTCATGGCATGCTTTGCATGTAACTGTTTTTGGAAACTGTTGAAAGGGTTTAGTTCCCAGATTAATTTGGGGGGAAAGTAAAAAAGCTCCAGCTGATATACTTACCCAGATCCAGAGATTTGGTGGCACTCATCTTCCTGATTGAATGACGCACATCATCATTCCGCTTGCTTCTTGTAAGCCAGGGTCTCAAGGCTCTACCTCCTCCTGGGCTCACAGGAGAATGCTGCAGATAGCTGTGCCAGAGATCCATAGTGCTGCTCTCACACAGAGCACAGTGATCTGGATCTACAGTAATCTGAAACTTCCCTGCCTTTTACTCCAAACTGACAAATGGTGCTCAGGGAGTGTAGGAAGTGTTGGACGGTGGGAGATCTGGACTGCTGAGCTCTGGTTGAGAGACCAGTCATCCATGTCTCCAGTGCTGCCAGCTCAGAACAGCTTGATGTACGGCTGAAGCAAAGGTATATAATTCTTTATAGTATAAAAAAATCGAAGCTTGACTTTTTGTTTTGTCAGTATAGTTTTGTTTTTTACTTTTGGGCTAAAGCCTAAAGCAGATTTTCATTTCTGCAACCAGTAGCGATTTCTGCTCCTTCTTATGTCTGCCTTATGGTGCCATCACACTCCTCACTATTACCTGTCTATTGCCCAATCCCATCCTGAAATGCTATTATCATTGTCCCTAAATCCATCCATCTCTATACTCCATCCATCTCTATACTCCATCCATCTCTATACTCCCACTTGTCCTTTTCTCCTGCAGGATATTTGCTCTACTCAATGAGCAAAGATGTGGACTATGGGAGCACTCTTCACATCCTCTAGCCGTGCCCATGCTTGCCTCTGCCTTGCTGTCTCTGCTCCCTCCAGACCAAAGTCCTTGCGGAGTGCAGGCCAGTCTCTTCCTCCAGATCTTCTTCCCCTCTCTTTGTTGCAACAGACATCCTCTTGGTGACCACCTCTGTGATCGTCTGGTAAAAGATCTAGCTGTTACCCTCCCCACTTTTTGTTCCAGTTTACGTCTCTTCACTATGCATCCTGACTCCGCAGTTACTGACAACAGCGTGGTGGGAGCTGGTTCAAAGCTAACAGACTGAAAATTACTAGCAGACAAAACAGGCAGGGAGATTTCACACTGAAAAGACTGAGCTCTTAATACTGACAAAAGATATGCAAAGAAGCTAGGAGTCTACTCTCTGTGTATAGAAGGAGGGCATATCCTCTTCGCTCCTTTCCTGCACATACTGCCTATTGTTATACTTTCCACATCTCTGTCCTACAAATACTGCCCACTGCCATACCTTTTGAACTTCTCTCCTGTACATACTGCCCACTGCCATACCCTCTGAACTTCTCTCATGTACATACTGCCCACTGCCATACCCTCTGAACTTCTCTCCTGTACATACTGCCCACTGCCATACCCTCTGAACTTCTCTCCTGTACATACTGCCCACTGCCATACCCTCTGAACTTCTCTCCTGTACATACTGCCCACTGCCATACCCTCCGAACTTCTCTCCTGTACATACTGCCCACTGCCATACCCTCTGAACTTCTCTCCTGTACATACTGCGCACTGCCATATCCTCTGATTCCTCTCCTGTACATACTGCCCACTGCCATACCCTCTGAATTCCTTTCCTGTACATACTGCCCACTGCCATACCCTCTGAATTCCTCTCCTGTACATACTGCCCACTGCCATATCCTCTGAATTCCTCTCCTGTACATACTGCCCACTGCCATATCCTCTGAACTTCTCTCCTGTACATACTACCCACTGCCATACCCTCTGAACTACTCTCCTGTACATACTGCCCACTGCCATACCCTCTGAACTACTCTCCTGTACATACTGCCCACTGCCATACCCTCTGAACTACTCTCCTGTACATACTGCCCACTGCCATACCCTCTGAACTACTCTCCTGTACATACTACCCACTGCCATACCCTCTGAACTACTCTCCTGTACATACTGCCCACTGCCATACCCTCGGAATTCCTCTCCAGTACATAGTGCCCACTGCCATACCCTCTGATTCCTCTCCTGTATGTACTGCCCACTGCCATACCCTCTGAATTCCTCTCCTGTACATGCTACCCACTGCCATACCCTCTGATTCCTCTCCTGTACATACTTCCCACTGCCATACCCTCTGAACTTCTCTCCTGTACATACTGCCCACTGCCATACCCTCTGAACTTCTCTCCTTTACAAACTGCTCACTGCCATACCCTCTGATTCCTCTCCTGTACATACTGCCCACTGCCATACCCTCTGAACTTCTCTCCTGTACATACTGCTCACTGCCATACCCTCTGATTCCTCTCCTGTATGTACTGCCCACTGCCATACCCTCTGAATTCCTCTCCTGTACATACTGCCCACTGCCATACCCTCTGAACTTCTCTCCTGTACATGCTGCCCACTGCCATACCCTCTGAATTCCTCTCCTGTACATACTACCCACTGCCATACCCTCTGAACTTCTCTCCTGTACAAACTGCCCACTGCCATACCCTCTGATTCCTCTCCTGTACATACTGCCCACTGCCATACCCTCTGAACTTCTCTCCTGTACATACTGCCCACTGCCATACCCTCTGAACTTCTCTCCTGTACATACTGCCCACTGCCATACCCTCTGAACTTCTCTCCTGTACATACTGCCCACTGCCATACCCTCTGAACTTCTCTCCTGTACATACTGCGCACTGCCATATCCTCTGATTCCTCTCCTGTACATACTGCCCACTGCCATACCCTCTGAATTCCTTTCCTGTACATACTGCCCACTGCCATACCCTCTGAACTACTCTCCTGTACATACTGCCCACTGCCATACCCTCGGAATTCCTCTCCAGTACATAGTGCCCACTGCCATACCCTCTGATTCCTCTCCTGTATGTACTGCCCACTGCCATACCCTCTGAATTCCTCTCCTGTACATGCTACCCACTGCCATACCCTCTGATTCCTCTCCTGTACATACTGCCCACTGCCATACCCTCTGAACTTCTCTCCTGTACATACTGCCCACTGCCATACCCTCTGAACTTCTCTCCTTTACAAACTGCTCACTGCCATACCCTCTGATTCCTCTCCTGTACATACTGCCCACTGCCATACCTTCTGAACTTCTCTCCTGTACATACTGCTCACTGCCATACCCCTCTGATTCCTCTCCTGTATGTACTGCCCACTGCCATACCCTCTGAACTTCTCTCCTGTACATGCTGCCCACTGCCATACCCTCTGAATTCCTCTCCTGTACATACTACCCACTGCCATACCCTCTGAACTTCTCTCCTGTACAAACTGCCCACTGCCATACCCTCTGATTCCTCTCCTGTACATACTGCCCACTGCCATACCCTCTGATTCCTCTCCTGTACATACTGCCCACTGCCATACCCTCTGAATTCCTCTCCTTTACAAACTGCTCACTGCCATACCCTCTGAATTCCACTCTTGTACAAACTGCCCACTGCCATACCCTCTGATTCCTCTCCTGTACATACTGCCCACTGCCATACCCTCCGAACTTCTCTCCTGTACATACTGCCCACTGCCATACCCTCTGAATTCCTCTCCTGTACATACTGCCCACTGCCATACCCTCTGAATTCCTCTCCTGTACATACTGCCCACTGCCATACCCTCTGAATTCCTTTCCTGTACATACTGCCCACTGCCATACCCTCTGAATTCCTTTCCTGTACATACTGCCCACTGCCATACCCTCTGAACTACTCTCCTGTACATACTGCCCACTGCCATACCCTCGGAATTCCTCTCCAGTACATAGTGCCCACTGCCATACCCTCTGATTCCTCTCCTGTATGTACTGCCCACTGCCATACCCTCTGAATTCCTCTCCTGTACATGCTACCCACTGCCATACCCTCTGATTCCTCTCCTGTACATACTGCCCACTGCCATACCCTCTGAACTTCTCTCCTGTACATACTGCCCACTGCCATACCCTCTGAAC